GTTACACAAGTCTGAATTTAAAGATGGAAGGAGTGACAATGCATACTCCTCACTTGACCTCATGGCATGGTCGCTGATTGAACTGAATCGGCCAGAGCGTACATTTATACCAATACAGATCGTGTAGCGCTGCCGCCTAACAGCTGGCAATGCTAATATCAGCCTGTACTCAAGCAAATATTTAGTTTTTGCTGTCATATCTTTGTCACTAATACAGCTAACATATTTAGCATCTCCATATGACAAAAAATATTAAAAAGTAATGACCAAAGCATTGTAGGTGCTTTTGTAAAGCTGCTATGCGGTTACTTTGTTAGGTTGTAATATCTAAAACCATTAGAAGGTGGACATCCTTCTAAAAGCTTTGATTGTCCTACATAAATTAAAACTGAAAATGATTTGATGAATTGTTGTAGGTAAACCTTGTGGTGCGTTTCCCTACTAATGATTTAGACAGATACAGCGTCTCTTGTACCGGCTTTAAAAACAAAACTAAAAACTATATGTAAATTATTATTGAGATGATCATTAAAGCTGTCCTGTGATTCCAGGTAATATCTCAAGTTTGAATAGAATATTTCTTCTTTCTTCTAAAACTCTTCAGAAATGTCGACATGTTGCTTTCATGAAGCCAGATTTTATTCATAATCTCCCAGGTGTCTTCCACACCTGCTGTCTGGATCGCAGCCCATCCGTCTGTCCATCCCTCCCTCCACCTGTCTGTGTTACCAAAAGTAATGTTACTATGTCAATCACTCCCCTAACGAGGTGCTTCAAGGTCACTTTGGGTCTAAAGCTTCAATCCTCATAGAAACAGACGACCATTAATTTCTACAGCTCTCTTCCCTATCAGAGTCCAAATGATCACACTAATATGTTTATTTGTTGCTCCCGAGGACCTCCTCGACTCAGTGACCAGCTGGCTACATAAATCGCCTGCTGGTCGTGATGAGTGTCACACTGACTCATTCTTTGATGCTATTTTAACCGCTATATGTCTTTGTGGAGCTTTAGCATCGCCTGTTTAATGGTCTGAGAATATGAATCTTTCTGCTTTTCACCACGCATGGTGCATATGTCTCATCAGCTGCAAAGAGGTCGAATAAATGACCCACAGTTCATTGCATACTACCTGAAGCGATGCTTCAATTTGACAGTAACTCCAGGGAGAAACATTTTAGACGCATTCAATTTGTTTTCTTTTCATTTGAGTTGCAAGCGATCAAACACTGAAGAATTGCTCATGAATTTTAAGACTGTGGATTAATCACAGTCGGTTGTGTTTAAAAGATAATTTGGTTTAATTGTCCAGAAAAAAACTAAGAAAATCTAGCACTGAAAACTCCCCATTTATACTAAAGGATGCCTTTAATTCATGGTGTCATTACTGTTAAACTAGCTTTATTTCTCTCCATTCCCATTTTGAAATATTACAGTTTGGCAGTGTGTTGTATGAGAAGAGCATTAGAAGTTAATTTCCTTGTTTTTTCGTTATTTTTGTGACTTTGCAAATGTAAACTGCTGAATTATTTTTCTTCTAAAAAAGCCATTGCATCTGAGCAGAGTGTTGAATACTCGGCATACTCTCGTAATTTCCTACTGTGACAATTAAGAGATAATGACATGCAAAGAAATCTGCAAGTGACTCAGTTTGTCTTCACATTTGGCATTAATTAACAGAAGCCAATTAAAAGGGGCCAGGCCTTACCAATTGGACTCACAAGGCAATTTGCATCCTAATCAATCTTTGGTGTATTATGGGGATGTTTCTGTTTTGTTCCCACACAGTAACAGAATAAACAGGGCTGACATATGTAGCATTGTTGGGAAAACAGTCGTGCAGATGAACAAATAGAGAGTTTGTATACATTTATAGGAAAATACAGGCGTGCATCTGAGAGTCTGTTGGTTCAGTGTGTCTAACAAACCCTACATGTGACCTTTTGGATCATTTAGAATGCATGACCGAGGCTGGAGTTTGTTTTTGTTTTTTCATTCCACCAATCCATCCATAACTGAATACCTCTTTTCTACTGCCAGCGGTGCTCAATCTCGCTTGTCTTGGCAACGTAGTCATCCCTTTCACTAAGTAGCAAATCAATGAGAGGTCTCTTTCCAAATCATAATTCAAGCAGACAATCGCGTCCTCCCTCTTTAGATATAAACAGCA